TTAAAACTATTAAAGCTAAGATGCCTGCCGAATTATTAAGTAAATCATGGTGAATTAGCCCTTACAAGAAAAATTCATATACATTGTAAAAGAAAGAAACAGAATTCACTCACAAATGGGTTAAACTCTTCAGTTCACCAATTTCAGGAGGAATGACATCTTGTAGCTTATTCCATCTCAAGTTACTGAGAAGCAACAAGAATTAGTAAACGATCAAAAACAGAAAAACGAAGACTTCTATTAGAAAAATATGCACATGAGTTGAACAGAAGACAAATTATCTTGAACTAAAAAGGATTAGAAAAGGGCTGTACAGCATTTTGAGACGCTTCAAACGTCCGATTTGCGGAGGAATAGGGCCGGTTAACTTGTTGTTATGGAGATCCCTGTGACACAGACAGAGTCACATACAGATATAGTAGATTCTTCAAAACAAAGATCAAACTTTTAAGTTTTGAAAAAATTAAAAACAACCAGAGGGTTATTGATTTATGCATTTGTATCTGATAAATTTATAGATTTTGAAACGTCAATTTGTATTAATTGTTATAGTTTTGGATAAATTAAATATCAGTAGATTGAAGAGGTGTGTGTTCTTACAGCCTAGTGAGATCCAAGAGATTGGTGACAGCCGTAGGAAAAGGCCCAACAATTGACACTGCATAAACCTCCCTGCAAATTTGCAAAACAATAAACAACACATAAATACGTAATTTTAAGTTAAAGCTAAAAACTTTGGAGCGAAATCGAAGGGAAGGTGGAAGAAGTGGTGTTCTTACAACTCGGTGACGACTCGGTAATCGCCTTGAGTGGAGCAAGTGACACCGGACCACGGCGGAAGGTCGCCGTCTCCGCACGGATCGTCTCCTACCCAGGCGTACACCACTCTCCACCCCAGCGAAGCCTTGATCTCGTTCAGTGCTTTCACTGTCACAAAAAACCACCCATTTCCATAATTCCCCAATCACATTCGCAGAAAGAGAGAGAGAGAGAGAGAGAGAGGTGTGAGGAGTCGAGGACTTACTGTCGCGTTTGAGGGTTTTGGCGTCGAGAAGCAGCGGAGGGAAGACGATGAGGAGGACCAGAGAAAACGCGGCAAACGGAAGACGAAGCGCCATTGTCGTCTCCAAAAGGGGATATTGGAGATATCTCGCAGCAGATCTCTGATCTCGGACTTCTTCACTTACACACACTTTCCACTCGGAATAATTAAGTGGCACTTAATTATCTAATTAGATCTAAAACCCTGTCCTTAATTATGATTTGTTAAGTAACTACCTGAGAGATTAGTGATTTCCCTTGAGCTTCTTCGATCTCTCCAGTCTCCAGAGATTGGAACTCTGCTTTCGTCCTCCCGAGTCCTGTCGGTGACCCTTTTTTCTTATTTATTTTTTCATTTTTTTCCCTTTATTCTGATTGGTCTGGCCTCCTTCCGGCTGTTTTTTCTTTGGGCCTCTTCGCTGGTGTTTCTTTTGGGCCTTGTCTCGTTTAGTAATCTACGGGTGTACTATGGGCTTTTTTGGGCCTCTCGTTTTTCTCTTTTCTCTACTAATTGAGCAGTATTTGAGTACATCAATATTTACATTTTACACTAGAGGCGAGCAAGAGTTCGACTAAACTACACAATGAACACTCTAATTTGGTATCAAATTCGTCATTCACGAGATTCGAACCTAATACCTCTCACTTCTAAGCGAAGAAGAATACCACCAGATCGTAGTACTAAATAGTAATTGAGCAGTATTGAACGAGAGAGAATTTCAATTCAAATTCTAGAAAAGATAAATGATTCTAGTCAGCTGAGTTAGAAGTTCTGTGCATCTTTTGATTTTTTTTTTTGTACACTCGAACTTCATTTTACTTATTTTTGTAATAGCATTTTAAACTCGGGGGTAGAGCATATTTTTTTGCTATGTATTTCTCTAATGAGAACTAGATTTAATCATCGCCACTGTTCAAATAAGTAAGTGTGTTGAGGAATGCAAATATTTCCGTTTACACCCAATAACGTATTTCATTAACATATTTCACTTTCATGATATGTGATTCATATTTCACCTTATTATACAAAAAAATAAAAATACTTGAGATAGAGAAGTGTTATTCGCAAACCGCAAAAAATTGAAAGCACAAACAAGAACTCTAAATTAAATTCACGTATTCATAGAAAAAGCTTGAACTTAATATAAATACACGATCACTTTTAAATTCGGACCCACATGGTACATTTTGGAAAGCAAAATGTCCACTTTGACCTCGAAAAAGAAAGCGATAGCTTCAAGTATATTTATGATATTCATAGGCATCTTTTGAATTACATGATGACGATATCTCCTCCCCCACCCACCCAAATTTGAACTGGCGCCTCCGATCCCATGAAGAACATCAATTCAAGAAAATCTGGGACCATTTCCTTGCTTGTTTTTCCCGCTTCCACGAGAATTAATTTCCCATTAAATTATCGGGATAGCGATAATTAATTCATAAACAAATATGAAAATAACGTGTACATGCGTCGATGAGTACTAATTCATTAAGAAAACTAATGCACTAAATATAGCAAGAGGATTAAGGAACTAAAGAACTAGCTAAACTCCTTGATAGCAATATTATACCGGTCCCGATGCATGATCGTCGTTCATCATTTCGTTATGAAGACGGAAAACGGACTCGAATATGGCTGCTGGAACGCTCAAGAACGACTTTGGTGATGAAAGATGCCAAGAAACGCTCAAGAACCGATCAAGAACGATAAGTATTTATATGTTCGTGGTAAAATATTCAGAAATTTGTTTGATGAGGACGTTACTTGGGGTGCAGGACTTGCACTTTCAATTGTGAAGAGGGTTGGGACCGGAGGGGACGAGTCTCTTCTCGACACCGTATCTTGGATCAATCTGGTGACCATCTTGATCTTGATGGTCGTCGTGAGCCGGCTGTGAGGGGCTCGACGAGGATAGTGGCGGCGGCGAGAGGGGAAGGTAGCCGTGGAATATTCTGTGGTGGGTGAGTTCAAGGCACAAAGAACGTAACTGAGCACTCGACCATTCCGAAACTGAAGTCGGATGATCGCAATTACGGTGGTGGTGGGGGTTTCTTGGCGTAACATTGATTGGGTTAGAGATGGGTGCGGCAGCAGATGTGACAAAAAGTAGTGAAATGAAGACTGCCGCCGCGGCCATGAGAAAACGCCGCCGGAGGCCGAAAGTGGAGGAGAGAAACGAAAAAGAAGAGAGAGAGCTCTTCGTCATTCTTGGGAAGAGAGAGAGAGAGAGAGAGAGAGAGAGAGATGGGAAGGGGGGGTTGGTTTAGAAGGGGAGAAACTTTTTAGGTGTTTAGGATGATGGTGATGGTGATGGTGATGGTGATGGAATTGTAGTAGTAAAACTAAAAGGAGTTTAATGCAAAGGAAAGGCGCAAGAGGCACATGAAGGACTTAAATTTATAAGGGAAAATTTGAAATAGATCCCATTTTATAGGCTACTTTTGAAATAGGTCCAATTTTTAATGAATTTTGACTTTTGAAATAGGTTTAATTTTTAACTATTTTGGACCCATATCAAAATACCCCAATTTATAATTACAATTGCCGTGTGAGGAGAAAATTTTTGGTGTCATAGGGACACAAATTAGTGTTTCGAGTGTTATAATATAATTGGTTAGAAATATTTTTTTATAAATTTCTACCTAATTGTAATATTACACATGAGGTACTGGACAATGTTCCCAACACAATGAAAAATCTTCTGTACCGAGATACATTGTCTATTGGAGTGGAGTGGTGGTTAAAACTCACAAACACAAATTCACAACTCATTATCCGTTCCATTATCTCCAGTCACCAATAGATTGGATACTTAACTCATTTCTGTGTCTTTATTTTTTAATCGGTAATTACTGTTCTCAGTAATTCTATTTACATACGTAAAATTCAACATATATGTATTTTAAAGTGTGTCAGTAAATATGTGTTGTTATTATCTTCGTCACATGATTCACATAAATATGTTTTGGTCTACTCTTACTCCTATATCTTTCTTGTACACTGACATGTTCAAAATGGACAAGGATTGTCTGCCCTTCACTTCTGGTGTCCTTCCCGTACTCTCCTGTTTTGTGTGGTTACGGTTAAGCCACGTTAACCTTTTATATTGTTTTTTTATAGATATAATAAGACAAAAATGAATAGTAATATAAAATGTTGACGTGGCTTAACTGTATCCACACAAACAAAAGGGCACGGAAAGGGCACCGAAAGTGGAGGGCAGACAATCCTTGTTCGTTCAAAATAAGACGGAAAATTTTCAAATAGCCACTCCTTTTCCTTTTTTTTTTTTTTGCTCATTATTTGTTCAGAGACTTAAGGATTTACGCCATTTTCTTCAATTTTTGCATCATTAGGGGTGAATTTAGGTACACTAGGTTGGTTGCCACAAGGAAGAAACTTACTTATGTTGGAAACCATGATGGGGAGGTGCACGACACGGTTGAGATTCTAGCGTCGGGGCAAGTTCTCGGCTGTAGTGGAGCTGGTGTAGGCGGTATCAAGTCTGTTGATATCGGTAGCGGTGGTGGTGCTGGAGTTATTAGGAGCAGTGGGGAGTGTACATTCTCATGGTTTGTGAAGGGAACAAGCGTGTTGGTGCTTGGGGTTTTTATAGGATATGTTGGGGGGTTACATTTCATATTCCAGGAAAAAGGCCGTCCCAGGAAATAACTGGACTCCTGTGACGAGTGAGGAAACGTGAGCGGGAAGGCATCCTGATTGCCTGTTGTACAACTGCAGATGGCAGTGTTTGTAAATATTCAAACTTTCTTCACACAGTTGGTATCGGTAGTGATTTTCACTCCCGTTTTCTCTTCCCGCCATCATCCCCTTATTTCTGTCCCGTCCCGGGATCTTATTTGATTTATTCGATCCAAAAGTTAGGAAGAAAAGAGGAGTGGAGGAGAAGAAAATTGGAATGCAGAACTATATATTGTGATTTAGAGCTGTATGGTGAAATCTGAACAAAAAGGCTCCTTTTATTGCATGCATATCCCAAATAGGGGGAGACCAGTTATATACAATCGAAAGTGGAAAAGATTTCTGTAGTTACAGTAACTAATGTTAGGCTGCTGGTATTTGTAAGGCTGTTGGTCTTCACCCAAGCAATCGTCGTGTACGTTGATTAGCACCTTTCACTCGAGAGTTAAGCTCATCAACATCGTCAGAGAGATTATCAATAGCTTTGTTTTGCCTGCATTTACCATATTATTAACAATAATGCAAACATGTATACGAAATCGTGAAGAAAGTTTACAGAGAAGAACAAAGATATTAACCTGTCAATTTCACTTCCCATATCCATAGCCATACCCTTCAGATCCCCCAATATATTGCTTAGGTCTGAAAGAGCATCTTCTTGCTTTGCCTTCTCATGCTGATATTGACAAACCGGTCCCATATAAGTAAATATGGAGAGCACGTAGCCATATTCTTGACAATCGTAATCGCAAACACTTACCTCGACTTTTTGCAAGGCACCTGATCCTTCGGGAGGAGGCGTTGCAGGAGCTGACCGCCCTTTCGGAGCTATACCCAACTTTTCCTTCTGCTGTGGGTCAGCTTTTTTGGGTGCAGCTGAACATGATCAACAGATGCAATAAGCTTTATGAGGTTTTGAAGAATTAGGATATGAAGCAAGCAGATTATAACAGAAGCAAACCTAATGAAAAATCAGGCCCCGAAATATCCTTGGTCTTCTTCGGCTTCCAAGGCATTGAGAACATGCCTCCAAGATTGTTTAAAATCTTCTCACCCTGTTTTCAGAATGCATCAATAGGTATTAAGATCTAAATGCTGCTCTTCAAGATTTATAGTTTCTTGTGTCACAAGAAAATATAAATCGTCTGGGAATAACTACAAGCATGACAACAAGGAGACGTTACCCGACTCAAATCCTTATCGATATCAACAGCCGCCATGTGAGTCCTTGTAATTTGCTCACCCTGCTGGTGCAACATGTCAAGTGTCCTTGTAGCATCCCCTCTGATGTCCTCAGCAATCCTGAGGCAGTTGTTGACACTCTTTGTTGTCTCCTCGGCCTTGTTAACGGCATATTTCTCTAACTCTTGCATACTCTGCTGCTCTAATGGTTTTTTTTCGTTGCTGAAATCCGGGGTGACAAGCATAGGCTCCGAAGAAGTTCTTCTCGCGGGGTTAAGCACGTTCTTCCCGGCATCTGAATCAGCTTGAGCAATCTTTGCAGGTGATTTTTTTGACCCAAACATTTTGGCAAGAAACCAATGGTTGTCTAAGTGGTAAGGTTTTTTTAATTATTTTAACCAAAAGTCACTAAATCAAAAGGAAATTGATTGAATCCTTGTGAAGATTCTAATACGGTACCTACAATCTCAGAAAAAAAGTTAAACGATGAGAAAAAATTCATAAACTAATAGCAATTAAGTATTTAAGCGATGTTCTAAACTACTAGAAATCATTTTAATATATGAGACGGGGATCAAACTCGACTACAAGCGTGTGAGCATGTTGTATTGTCTAACTAACCTAACTCACGTCTGTAAAAGACCACAAATTTAGAAACAAAAGATCAAAACTAGGGTTTCCCAATTTCTTTCTAATACCACATTCTTCACTTGGCCTACATTTTCATACCACATTGCAACATTCCACTAAATTCAATAACAAAAACGAAAAGCTCAATAGTTGATCACCAAAAATTACCACATGCGATGTGATCAAGACCAAAAAATGTACCTAGAAATTTCGATAAAATCCGAAACTTGGCAGTGTTTCGTAAACAAACCACTACGGTTTTTGGATTACGATTTAGCTTGTGCTTGAAACGAAAAGAGGAATTTGAGAAGAAATTGGAGAGAAACAAAGAGTTTTCTGTGGAGAAGTATTTATTTTCTGTGTCTGTGGCTGTGAGAAAAAAAATCAGAGAAAAAAACGCCGCGCAAAAGCAGAAGAACTGGACGGCTCTAACCTCCTCCGAATCCAAGGTCCAACTTTGAGAGACCGTTGGGAGGGATTTACCTTCTTCCCTCCTCAAATTTCCTCAGTTTTGTATTATTTTTGTGGATAAATAAAGGATTATTGTCAAGACGTGTATGCATGCCACGTGGTGCCACGTGGGTGAAGCAGATGGCCACCTGTCACTGTGGTCCATTGGCAATTTGCAGGCTTCTTGTTGGGTTAATAAAATCCCAAAATGGTCCTTTTCCATTGGGTCTGATTTTGGGTTAGAGAGGGTCATTGGTGGCCCAAACCTTTATTCCATTCTAGAATTTCTAACAGTGCAACCTTTTTACAGTATGCTGACAATATAAAGCAGAATGCTATATGTTATTATACAATTTAAGAAACATTCGAAAGAAATTTTTTTCAATTGTATAATAAGATGTGATTTACTGTTCAGTGTTCCGAATAGACTGAAAATTTTCTCCTCATTATGAGAGTGGGTTTGAGATTGAGACTTGAACATTGTAGACGAGAATACCAATAAATTGGTTGGTAGTTGGTTCATTCTAAATTTGTTAGAGACCAATCTTTTGTCCTATGATTACTTTTTCAGTGTGATCATCAAACTGTGATATGATGTTTTTACAGCTCTCATGTTATAATATGTGTATATGTTTATCATTATATAACTTAATCCTATGAAATATCATTCAAGTTGTTGACTCATATATAACAATTGGATTAGTAATACAACGTGACATGAGACATCACACTAAAAAACTTGCGAGGAATGGATGAACAACAAAATTTATAGAAAATGATGATTTGGAAAATGAATTAGCAACAAACAAAGATCAAATTCTCAGCCAAATAAAAAACAACAAATTAACAAAATCAAAGTGGCTAGTTGCAATTTGGAGGGCAAAGAGTCACCAAAAGAAGGTGATAGTTGCTTGCATGGTAGGGTAAGTTGTTAGGATAACGGAACGGCCCACTTGTCTTGGCTAATAGTGAGACCAAAACCTTCACATACTTTTCAAGAAATTTCAAGGAAATGCAGGAACAATATCATGCAAATAAGTGTGCCAAATTTTCAATTAAGTGAATAATGCCAACGAGAGTTAGTTGAGTTAGTAAGAATCGTTCTTTTCGTTAAATCAAAGCTTAAGTTCGAGTCCTACTACCAGCAATCTCTTTCACTGGCAATCTATAAAAACTAAAAAAATGAACTAAAACTCCTTATAAATTCTCGAAGAAGTTTGTGATTTACTCTGATTCTAAAATGGGATAGCTCCCCTCCTCGTAAACTTTTTTAGGATGAAAAGCACATGGAGCAAGACCAAAAAAAATTCATTAATTGAATTAAAGCCAATTAATTGAAAAAAGAATAATGTGGTAAACTAAGTAATAGTGGAGACGTTGGAAAACGACGAATCAAAGCATTTCCCTCGTCTCAAACATGAGGAAGATAAGCAGACAAAAGGCAACACGTTTTCTTTCACTCATTTTCTCCTTGCTCTGCTACTAACTTTCTCAGAGGGATACTGAGAAAGCAATGGCGGCATTACCATTCTCCGCGAAATCAACACCGTCAAAGTTCGTCTCAAGCTTCATACACTCCAACCGCATAAGAAGAAACTCGAGACCGTTTTTTATCACAACAACCACTTGTTCCCGCAGCCGAGCAAGGAGGCAGCTTCGTGTGAAGAACGTGGAGACTGATGAGAAAGATGTCGCCAGTCAAACCCAACAAGGTTTGGTTAAATTTGTTTCCTTTTGATTTAGAGTTTTGGTTGCAACGTGCTTTTTTCATAAAAGTGAAAAGATTTGATGCTTTCATAGTCAAATGCATAAGCACTTTCTACCCATCTCAGCTGAGGTGGGAATTTACTTTGCTATATCAATTTTAAGTCAAGGTGGTTTATCACAATCTCACTTTGAAGATTTCATTGTCCTGTCACTGAATTTTTTCTAGGAGGCCAATCGTTGTGTGTATAAAAATGCTTCTCTAGAAAGCACTTCAGCTCAAAAGCGTTTTCTTAAAAGCAAGTTGAAATTCTCTCTTCCATGTATTTTGCTAACCCAGAAGCACATTCAACTTTTTCTATGCTGTCTAAAGCACTTTCAATAATTTGGGCATTTACCACGTCCAAAAATCTTTATATTCACTCATTTATATCGACTTGATTAAGTTGTTATTTGATTTGATCAAATGGTTCAGGCAGTTTGGCTACAATTCCTCCTGATTCTTCATTCATTGCATCGAATATCAAATACCATGCCGAATTCACACCCTCTTTCTCTATCGAATCTTTCGCGCTTCCCAAGGCATTCTACGGTACCGCTGAAAGTGTTCGTGACATGCTCATTGTTAATTGGAACGCTACATATGAGTACCATGACAGGCTGAATGTAAAGCAGGCATATTATCTCTCAATGGAGTTTCTACAGGTTTGCCATGAGCTTCTCTTTTTGTCCTGATGCCGAAAATAACCTCTATTTTGTATACATTGCTTGTTGAGCATAAGGAGGTCTCATCTGTTATGTTTTAAAATTGTTGCAGGGAAGAGCATTGCTGAATGCCATTGGTAACTTGGAGCTTTCGGGGGCTTATGCACATGCCTTGAAAACGCTAGGGCACAATCTAGAGGATGTAGCTAGGCAGGTCAGATGCCCTGACCATTAGATTAACTTTACTGCGATTTCCGTTGAGCATTCCTTCGAATGGACTTACTTAATATTGTCTGGTTACTTTGGCAGTCTCTAAAATTTGTGTTGTTAATTGACAGGAACCGGATGCTGCGCTTGGAAATGGCGGGTTGGGGAGGCTTGCTTCCTGCTTTTTGGACTCCCTGGCCACTCAAAATTACCCGGCATGGGGATACGGACTCAGATACAAGTATGGCTTATTTAAACAGCACATTACAAAAGATGGGCAGGAGGAAGTTGCTGAAAATTGGCTGGAGGTTTGATCATTGAGACTTACTTTTTCCTGTTCTGTTAAAAGTCATTCACTGAATTTTGTTCATTAAGAACACTTTCCCTTATCAGATGGGAAATCCGTGGGAAATTCCAAGAAATGATGTGAGCTATCCTGTGAAATTCTACGGCGAAGTTGTTTCAGGGCTAGATGGAAAAAAAACATGGATTGGAGGCGAAAATGTCATGGCGGTTGCCTACGATGTCCCCATACCGGGATATAAAACTAAAACCACCATAAACCTTCGACTTTGGTCCACAAAAGTAGCACCGGAAGAGTTTGATTTACATGCTTTCAACACTGGAGATCATGCCAAGGCGTATGCAGCTTTAAAGAATGCCGAAAAGGTTTGTATGATTTCATCATAGTTGTTACACTTATTCTTCCAAATCTGCATTGTTGTGTTACTTTAATCTTTTCATCTTCATTAGATCTGTTATATATTGTACCCTGGGGATGAATCCATGGAGGGAAAATCACTTCGGTTAAAGCAACAGTACACATTGTGTTCTGCTTCTCTCCAAGATATAGTTGCGCGGTTTGAGAGAAGATCGGGGGAGTCTGTGAAATGGGAGGAGTTTCCTGAGAAGGTTGCAGTGCAGATGAATGATACTCATCCAACTCTCTGCATCCCAGAGTTGATAAGGATATTGATGGACGTTAAGGGCTTGAGCTGGACGGAAGCCTGGGACATTACTCGAAGGTACTTCCCTTCTCGATATTTTGATTAGTTATTTAGCTTCAAGTTGGCGCATTCCGTGTGACTTGGAGTGTTTTCCTTACATGTATAATTATATATAAGCGAATGTTTTTTCATTCGTCGATTATCTTGCCAGAACTGTTGCATACACTAATCATACAGTGTTACCTGAGGCATTGGAGAAATGGAGTTTGCAGCTCATACAGGAATTACTTCCTCGACACGTTGAGATCATAAAAACGATTGATGAGGAGGTAATATTCAGCGTTGTGCGATAAAAATTCTTTTAATGAGCAAAAGATTCATTCTTTACTTTCTACTGTAGTATGTAACATATTCGATTTCTTGACCAGCTAATTCATACCATTATTGCTGAGTACGGCACAGAAGATCTTAACTTGTTGGAACAAAAACTGAGAGAAATGAGAATTCTTGATAATATCGATTTGCCTGATTCAGTCATTGGAATTCTCTGTAAATCAGAAGAAAGTTCTGCAGTTGATCACGTTGAGGAAGTTGATTTTTCTGATGAAGAAGCTAAAACCACTGATGAAGTAGGTCAATCTAAAGGACTAGACACTAATACAAAAAATGAGGTTACATTTGAACCGGATCCTAAACTTCCAAAGACGGTGAGAATGGCTAATCTATGCATTGCTGGTGGACATGCAGTAAACGGCGTTGCTGAGATTCACAGCGAAATAGTGAAGAACGAAGTATTTAACGATTTCTATAAGGTATAAACCCTATAACAAAACTTGGAAGTGTTACTGACGTCCATTTAGTATGTGCATATTTTTTGTCCACTGTTTTTCACATAATATTAATACCTCTGGCAGTTGTGGCCTGAGAAATTTCAAAACAAGACAAATGGGGTGACACCGAGAAGATGGATTCGTTTCTGCAATCCAGGTCTGAGTAAAATTATAACCAAATGGATTGGAACAGACGATTGGGTGAGAAATACTAACATGTTGGTCACCCTTCGGAAGGTAAGATGTCATACCTAGCTAACCTGCAAGTCATTGAATACATATCTGCTGGTCTTTTTCTTCGCTTCAATATATGAATTTCGATATTTATAAATCTCACTTTTGTGTAAGATGATAGCAAGTTGTATCGGCATTGTGCAAACTACCTGCATCACCCAAATGTACCGAAATTTTTTGCTTGTTCTATATGGTCTCCTTTTACACATTGTGTAACTTCTTAACAGTTTGCTGATAATGAAGATCTCCAATCCGAATGGAGGGAAGCGAAAAGGAGAAACAAGATTAAGGTTGCATCCTTCCTCAAGGAAAAAACTGGTTTTCTAGTCAACCCTGACGCAATGTTTGATGTGCAAGTAAATTTCTGATCCTACAAATA